CGTTCTACTAGAATGTTTTAAATAAAACTAGTAGCGAATTTTATTCAATGTGATTAATGAGAAGGTTTCTTACGTACTAACTAACAATATTAAATTTACTTAAAACTAGAGAACAACTAACAAAGGGGGTGGAGTCTAAATGAAAGATATTATGGTGTTAAGTTTTCGAATTAAAATAATTGTAAAAAATATAGATACTTATTAGCACTAAACATATTCGTTTAATATTTATGAGGAATAGGTATCTCAAAAATATCATTCTTGAAACTACCACAATACTATAATTTCCTATATCTCAGATAATTCGAAACGCCTTCAATTCCATGAAATTTTTTTTACGTATCATATACGCACCTATACACTGACAGTAAAGAATGCTTCAGACGACATGTTTATTTTCTACCAGATAGTGAATATGCTATTTTTCGTCACCCTTTGGCCAGGAACTGAAATTTTCTTGGACAAGTAATTTAACAATCATGCTCATCGGAAAAAAATCGCAAAAGCTTTTGAACAAAGACAAATTTGCATCATTAAATAAAAACGCAGTACAATTTTAAATTAAGCAAAGCGTTTTGGGTTGTGCTTTTTATGTTTTATCTCTATATCGCGTTAATATTCGTGCAGTGACCAGCACATGGGCTTGAGCTATCAGAACATGAGCTTTCATCAACTCATGCCCACTAGTAGCTATACCATACGTCCCTGAAAGTGAGACAAATGTGTAACAACCTTTCAATTTTTAACTTCTTTTACTGGCATGACTAATTTTACTAATAAATACTATAAGTACTTACTTCATACTTTCTTAATTCAGAATATTAATGTGCAATTACCCAGGTATACATACATGTTTTACGGCCCATACTTGAAAGCACACACTAAACAAGAATTTCCTGTTTATATTGTTAGGTAAAGTTTTTCTCACGATCCTATTGTTTCCCGAAAAAAATCACCAAGTGTTTTACGAAATAACCAAATAACTTCTGTATTTGTTTCGAAAATTGTATAGTTTTGTTACAAAACAACCACCGTTTATTAAAGCTAACTTGAAAAGCATAAAATTATATCTGTAACGGTTTGTACAAATATTTCGTGACTGTTTAGTAAAGTTTAATGCAGACATTTTACTGGTTTGTATACGGGGATTGACTAGAGTGAGGTACTTACATATCATTTGAACAATTAATCTAAATTACGAAAGAAAGATCATGAGAAATCTCAATTAATAGAAAAGTATCTTCTTCTTTTCCGTTGTTTCTTCTAATACTCCAATTTGATGCCTGTAAATACGATAGAGAATTTTACCTGTCGTTTATTTTAAGTAAAATTATTTTCTTTTGTTACAGATTTCTGTGTGGGCTACAGAGTTTGTGATTCACATTCCTGGTAATTTGGGACAGGAAGGTGTAGTGTACAGATTAGATTATTATCCTCCTTACGGTTATCCAGCTCCCAATACCACCATAGCTTCCAAAGATATTCAAGACGTGATTAAATTTTCTCAAGCCCTTCCTGGTACTAAGTACGACTTCTATTTGTATTACTCCAATGCCACACACAATATTCTCACATGGACCGCCAACTTTACAACAGGTACCTTTTATATTTTTATCATATTAGATTGTACCTGCATATATGTAGGTATAGATACGTAATTTTATCAATTTTAATGAGTTAAGTCAAAAGGCAAAAACCTCATTTCATAATGATTTAAAACGGCAGTTGTTAGTGTTGGGCAATTTGGTGATATCTTCATGAGTCAGTAAAGGTACTGTTCATCTATATGATTCATAATGATTTAGCTAAATTTTTATAACAAAAGAGTGGACTTTCTAAATAAAAAGCGACATCACAATTTATATATGACGAATTTTAACTAAATATTAATTTTCGTTATTATTTTCACACCATTTGATACGTGTTAAAATATTTCTTTTTTAATGTTTTAGAATGTCATTCATACCCACATGATATAGATATTATGATTGGCTTTTCTAAAATAACATTATTTTTAGTGACCAAAGTAGCTTATTGTTGTTTGAGTAAATATACAATTTCGTCAGCAAGCTTTAATGAAAGCGATTTCTTAATTTCTTTGGCAATTAAAGTATGATACGTTGCCGCTTGCCAAACGGCATTTATTATCGGCGATGACCATTTAATTAGGTAATGTTTTAAGTAAGGGGCATTTTTTTTGTTAAACTAATAATGAGTAATTGGCATAAACTGTGACTTCTTCGCTCCTCCCTCTGAAGTCTATTTAAAACGATTAATGAAATTACAGTTATAATTACATTTATAAAGCGGTTTGCAACGAAATATCATTTAAATATCGTATAGGTACATCTTATTTGCTATTGATTTTAATTTTATCTATTTTTTTGAAGNAAAAAAAACGATTCCTTTAAAATCCCACCAAACAGACAGCATCACCTTTTTTTGGTGAATATCGGCACAAGTAAAAATGAGAAAATCTTACAAAAATTATTTATTTGATCGTCAAATCAAAGTCAATTTTTATATTAACTCGGTATTAGACAGAATTAATCCCGTAAAAAGCAGGACCAACCTTAGACATTTGCATGTGTTTTAGTTGTGCTTCCAACTGATAATTTTGTTTATTTATAACTGCTCTATTTTAATTAAGGGTGCATTATTTTCTTTTAAGAAATACGTATAAAATTAACTTGCATAAAAGGGTTTTCCATTAGTATGGTAAGTGTAGAATACTTTGGGTTATGTTTTAATCCAATAAGAGTAAATTACATAAAATAACCAGAAATTCGTACGGTTGTTGTGGTTATTACTTCTAAACCATAATTTAGAGATTGGAGATCGAAAGTGAGTGCGCGTGATAGAAGTGAAAACCGTGCGTTAAAAATCCTTTCACTTTCATGGCGTAGCGATTGGTTGTTCCTTTGTCTGATGTATTATACAATTATTTTTAATGTGCCTCTTAATTTAACTTGCGGTTTTAACAAATTGTATAAGCGTCCAATGCTTCATTCTTTGTTTTACAGCATATATGTATACTTACAGAATTATAGCAATTCACGTTGTCTTAAATTAGGTCAGCGAATCCGTTGGTCTGCCAAAAAATTTATGGTACCTATATAAATACGTATACGTATGCGAGTACTTTAGATATCTGTGTATTTGAAGTTCATTTACGAATGTAGGTACGTGTACAGCAATAAAATGCTATGAAAATATTTCATTGAATCGATTCCTCTTTGGATTTGAGCCAGTACGTTCGTTTAGCTGGTAGGTAACTACGTACGTGATTTTTACGAAATTGAAAATATAGTTATTCGATTAATTATCGTTTTGTGGGACTTAATTAGTTATTCACAAATGAGAAACGTGTTTAGAAGTAAACAGAAACTAAGTACAAAGTTAGGTTAATTTGAAGTACTGGGTACTGAAATGAGTTCAACGCTATTTTTAATTTTGAATTCTTTAAATTGCTGATTTTGGTTATATATTTATGTATGGAAGTTTAGAGATATCATTGGTAGTTATTGAAAATAAATGGTAAAGGGTAAAAAGGCAGTTCTCTGTAGTTTGACACCCACGTCGATTTTTAGAAGCTTGTATAAGATTTTGAAAGGGTAGTTTTACATATCCGTATATCTATGTAGGTATAGCTGAAGAAGTGATAAAATTCAGAAAAATATAGCTTAGGTCGGCCCTGGAAAAAATAGGTTAATGCGTAAATTACCTTAACGCTGCTAAATTTGTTTAGATCTAATTTCAGGGTCGAAAAAGTGAGAAAATTCTGTAAACTTTAAGTAAGCATGAAATCAAAACCTTTGATTTCTTTTATTATAAACAATTCAAAAACAAACATACCGAAGTAACGATAAAACGGAACTATAATGTTGTTACAAATTCGAACAAGATTGTCATTGGTATGTTTTGATTACTAGTGCAAAAATTTATATTCGTATCATGTGACACATCATATTTAACTTGTATAGCGTTTATTCTATTCATGAAAGATTAAAACATAAAATTTTTAAATGTTTAATCAACTAAGCGATTTTTTTAGTAGGCAAAACGTAAATTCATCCTAAAACATATTGCATAATTAAATTAATTACCCCGTTTAATCCACTGTTCATGGTTAGTTAGTTAATTGACACGGTGTTTTAATTGGTTGACAATTAAATTTTTTGCTTTAAATCGCAAAGGGAAAAGTAGTCCACACAGTTTTTTTTTTAATCGAAATTGGATAAATGAGCATTTACTTTGGTTTCTAATTGCTTCCTCCAGTGGCTTTCATTGTGAACGCACAATATCTTTCAATTGTTTCTGTCATGGAATACATTGACCTTTCAGAACTGTGTGGAATTGAATTGCAAAAATGTTATCACGGAAGGTATTGTTAGAAGTTAGAGTCAGTATTTCATTTATTTTAGGTATATGTAGTTTCTTATTGTAGTTATTCGAAATAAATTTTTGTTTTCTTATTTTATCGAATTATTTATTATCCTGGACTATAGTAAACCAATGAAATAGGCCTTTTATGATTTTTGTGTGATGTGTAATAAAACTTTGATTATTAAATTTTATATAAAACGTGGAATACGATTATTATATTGCCACCCCTCTGTTGCACTTTTAGGGGTAGTATTGTGAAAATTAATTTTATAGTGGATGCTGGATGATAGTGTTGTATAAGAAACCTTTGTACAAAATTTTAAGCTTCTTTTGGCTGTGCCATAATCCGTACATCAAGATTTAAACTTATTTTACCCATTTAGGGATTGAATTTTTAAAAATTTTTTAATAATGCTCTCCTACGTTGTATCTAAGCAAAATCAGGTCTCGTTACTGAGGGGTTTGGGCTGTGCATTGATACATGTCAGTTAGTTTATCTATTCATATACAGGTAGACATGCACTTTTTATAATAATTGACTTATAAAGAAAGTACAATCTATTGAAAGTCAGGTAATAAATATCTTTAGGAAGGAGAGTAATTGTTATGTAAATGTTTAAAAAGCATTTATTGTTTGAGGTGGCTTCCAAAATCTAGTCACCATAAACCAACAGTTAAAATTCAAATGGATCTAAATACTGACATGTAAAAACTAAGAATAAGCTTGGTCTTGTTCTCAGTTGCAGCTGTGTATTTTTGCAAGTTCATCATTAAATTTAACGTCAACAGTTACTGTTATTTAGGAAATACCCCAACACTGTTAATTGGGGAATGATTTACTTAGAATGTAATTTGTCGTGTCAGAGTTATACATGCAGGCATGTGTATTAATGTATCTACCAGAAACATTTGAGTGAATTCCGTGAAATAAGTAAATTTTTCTGTTTTTTTACGATTAAGTTTAGTAACTGTTTCTTTGAGTCACAAATTTTCACGTTTCATACATTTTAAATGCTTTCTACTAGGTACTACTTAATAGAAGTTGGCATATGTAGGTACCCTTATGTAGTTGAGATTTTAACTCATGTGAGTTACCTAAGTTAATCCTTATATTTCTAGAACTTAAATTTTTGATGTATTGGTGGGGTTGTAGAGGAGTTTAATACCATTGAAAGAAGATGGTTGCAACTGACCGTCTTCATGTTTGTATTTGGACTTAATTTTTCTCAAATTTTATCTACCCCCTTGTACGTTCATGAACATTTTTTAATCTTATGTCAATTTCATCCAAAATGACAGTTGTTTGCTTCGTTAGCTTCAAATTTTAAACTCATCGTTTATTTATTCAAAGACTATTCTTGAGAGGATAGTTGTGAGGACGAAACGTGGACAGGTGAGCATAGTATAGCGATGAGCATAGATTAAGGGCGAATTTATGCAGACAATTCTAGAATATCACGTAGAAAGTTTCAAAAATTAAATTTGCTTGAGAACTGTACAATTAAATTTCATTTACCTGATGAATATGTCAGCGAGGGAAATACAAGATGGGAAGTCTTTCTAGCTGATGTGTATCAGAACAAAGGTAGCAATTTATTGTTTGTGTCAAAATTTAAGGGATCATCTTGACACGTTTCAACAGAATTTTTTGAATGCCACTGCCAAAGTTCGATCATATTTTATATACCGAATGTCATCGAACGCTATGCAAAAAAACAAAGAAACAAAATCGATCCAAAGAAAAATTTTTCATCTTCAAAGAAAATTTCTCGGTATGTTGGAATCTATTTCGTTACGGTCTCCACCAAGTTTCTTTTTATAAATAATTAAGTGAAATTGCAATGTAAATTACATTTTCTTCACTTCGGTTTGCTTTCATACTTTTAGCATACTGTTAATAAATATAATGCTTCAGTAATACGTTTTCATACTACACATACATAAATATACAACTAGAAACCTGAAAGTGAAGCATTGTACCATAGAATGTTACATGGAAAAGTAGACCAACAACGATTGAGGCCATTTCATTGACATTGCCACCGTTTCGTATGAAACTCCTGAATTTATAATTTTCTATTTACTCGTTTTTGTAATTTTTGCAGTATTATCGTTGGCATTTCAATCAATAATGTTTGGTATATTTTATATTAACATGTACGAAGAGAAGTAGAGGATTTAAATATATGTACCTTTCGCTTTAACGGAGATTTTGGTATAGACATCCATAAGAAAAGTGGTTTTTGATATTAAAATAAATTCAATAAATAAAACTTTTCACATGTAT